TGGGTGATCACAATGATGCCATTGAGATCTATGTCTCGCACAAGCGGCTACATGGAAGCTTTGATCCTGATGTGCTTGTTCTATCCGGCAGTTTGGGAGCGCCAAGCAGCTCTAATCAAGAAGTGGGGAGAATGGGCTGTGATGCACGGGCAAACTCAGCTCGCAGTGGGATGGTGAGACCTTTGCGCCGACCTCAGATCTGATTCTTGTACTGACAAATACTTCTAGCTTTGCCTGCACCGGCCAGGAGTCTTCAGAACCATGGACCTCACCCTCGGCTGCCCAGGTCAACTTTCAAAGCATCAATGCCGCGGTGAACCCAAGCATCCCAGAGATTCTCTCACCCCCACTCTCGCCACCTGGGATCACCCGCGGGCCGCAGCGTAGCATTGCAAAAACATCAGCCCTCAAACTCATCACATCGTTCGGCGACCAGGGCGGAGCCAAGTCGAAGTTCTTCTCGCAACAAGACGGCGGACAGACTCCCATCGCTGCTGGCGTGACCCCTATTGCCGAGTCAGCCGTCTCCCCTGGAGGCTTTGATGTTACCACAGCGTTCATCCGCCCGTCCAACAGGAGTCAGTTCAACACGCCCAACTCGGCTAGGTCAAACACGTCTGCATTTGGCCGTAAACGACTTCCATCTATCGGCGAGATCCCTTCAGATCTACCTCGTGATCTGAAGCGGAGCGAGGCGTCCGCCACTCCCGTCGACCCTAACGAGGCTCGCCGAGCTGCACACACGCGAATGTCGTCTTCTGACCAGGAAACATTGGCTGCTGGCCTCTCACTTCAGCGCGCCGCGACCGCTAGCCCAATGATGATGCGTGATTACCCGAAACCGCCGCGAAGGCTGCGAACTAGAGATCAGCCACCGCCATCTCCAGACGCTCTTGTGACCGTCAAGATGGAAGGTAACGTGAATCGACGAAACGGTTCTCGCGACCGCATCCCAAAGGTATCAGCTGCAGCTGTGCCTATGTGGCACCCGATGATCGGAGAAGTCACGTCCCCTGAACAATCAGTAACATCATCGACTCGTTTCCACTGTGCATCGCGGCGCCGTGATCTAGGCTCTGTGGTAAGCTCCATCACGTCTCAGTCTAGCACCGGCAGGAGCCACCGCAGCAACACTACTGGTGCTACTCGCCAGGATTACATTCACAGCCTCGACACTGCTCAGTTGTATGGCAAGAAGCAGCGTAGCCGCCACAGCAGCCGCGAAGGCCGTCAAGAGTCTCGCGGACGAGGCGAGCGAGAGAGCAGCCGGTCGCGTACTCGTAAGGGTGCGTCGCGGGAACGCTCTGGGGATCGCGGCCGCTCCGGGAGCCGCAAATGGCCCAAGGCCAAGCGGTCACCAACATCACCTATTCCAATGTCGCCTGAGGACCTCATCAACCTGAGCACCCCCAAGATGCTGGACAGGACGGGTGAAGATCCCGTCACCGCAAGAAAGAGCAGCAAATCCCGTCAGAGCAGTCGCAGCCGGCAACCGAAGAGCAGGACTTCCAGTCGCGGCAGTCAAACCCGTCGCACGAGTCCAGAGGCTCGCCATCGACCTCCTGCGCTGGACTTGCGAGGTCGCAGCAAGGGCCGCGAAGGTTCTGCAATCAGGTCGCCGTCCTCACCCGTTCCAATGTCTGCGGGGGCCATCCATTACCATGGCTCTGAGGATGAAGAAGATTACCGGAAGGCCGTTGAGGCGCAGGAAAAGTTCCGCCTGCGCCATAACCGTAGCGCCAGCCAGATTGAACCTAGATCTCCAGACCTAGCTAGGCAAGAGCCATCCGAGAGTCGCCGCCGCCCTGCGACGGCGTCTCCTGAGCACCCAAAGCAGACTGTCATGGTCCGGGCCGCGCCCTCCACTGAGCACGCTGGCGACCTCAAGGCAATGAAGGACGAGAGGCAGCGCAAGAAGGAACAGGCCGCCCGTGAGCTCGAGGAGCGCCGCAAGTCGCTCGCGAAGCGGCCGTTAGCACCTCTGATCCCCCATCCCAACGACATTTCTCCGGCTCTGTCGCAAATCGTCGAGGCTCCTACCTCGACGCAGATGGAAAGCTCTCCCCGTTCCAAGACGGCCGACCCCACTCGAAGCATGTATGCCCGCAGCAGTCAGGGTGTGCACATTGGCCTCCCAGCAACTCCAAAAGCCATGCGTCTGATTATCGGCTCTGAAAAGGCAGCGCCGCCTGAAATGCCGCCCATTCCGGCGACATTCGCTCAGCGACACTCGCCTACTGCGTCACCAAATGAGCCTTACGCCAAGGTAGAGACTGGACAGCCGGAGGCAGAGCCGCTCACTCTCCTGCCGTCGACGGTCTACCAGCCTCCCACCAGGCCAATGATTCCTCGCAGCATGTCAGCACCCATTCCAGATGAGCCTCTGGGTCGACGCAGGTCAGATATGCCACCGCCGGCTGGCAAAAGCCATGGGCGAACGCACTCTCGAGGCCACTCGATGCTGAAGGGATCCACTAGCGAAATCCGGGGCATTGACGAGATGCTGGGCGATAGAAGCATGAGCGAGTATCGCAGGGCATCTCACGATGACAATATGCCGCCACCGCCACCACCACCCCCTATGCTCAAGGAGCTACAACACCTGGCGATGCCTCCCCCACCACCCCCAGCACCGTTGCCGCACTTCATGCAACCCGGCGCTGGAGCACTTGGAACGGGTATGATTGAGATTGTTGTGGACGACGACGAGCAGCAGGCGCCTGTGGCCACGCTTGTGGACACATCCGTTCCTGTTCTGGCAGCGCCTCCGGTGCCTTCCGGCAAAGGGCACCACTCTCGCGGACGCAGCTTTACGGAGCGTGAAAGAGAGTCCCGAGACAAAGACAGCAGCATTTCGACGCGGTTCACAAAGGCGACAGAGCGATTCCGGTCGGCGAGCCGTCCGCGAAAAGACTCGAGCATGGTGCGCATCCGCTCACCTGGACTCGACGGTGGTCAGACCATCGCTCCATACGAGAGCGTGCCGATGCCTGGAGGGTACGGCCAACACGACCTGCTACGGTCCCCCATCATTTCCGACCAGCAGGGTCTACCGACTGGGCTGCACGAGAGCGAGATGATCTAAGTGGGCGTCTTTTCACAGGCGCGCATTTCCTTTATTTGCTTCCTTCAGACTTTGAAACACACACGATAAACGACTTCGATTCATTTGCATGGCGATTGGCGTCCAAGGCATTTCTTCGATACCAGCCTTCGCTTCGGCGCGCGGCACGCATGCACCACGCCTAGATAGTTGCTGAGCAAAGGATATTCATGGCAGTCCAGCATTCCTTTTCAGTACGGCAGACGAAGACGCAGACCCTGGGCAGGGCACTATGACAGTTGGCGGGGTATGGAGGGCCTGTGTGTGTGCGCGGTGCAAGCAGTGCGGCTGTATTAACTTTTCTTACTTTCCTTGATGTGGCTCTCACGGCACGCGATCTGCTCGGAGACGACGGAATGGACTTTTGTGCTCGTTCACTTCATGACTGATATGACCAAGGTGAAGAGGAAGAGGGGAAGAAGGCGGAGCAAAGGGCAAAATTCAAAAGGCCGTAGGGAAAGGGGAAAGGGATTTACATCGTTGCCTCGCGGCATCTTTGTGTGGGAAATATGGTACGGTGCTTAATCAACATGTCTGCTTTGGCCCGACTTTTGCCCATGCCGAGGTGATGATGGTGGTGAAGATGACGTGCATTGGTTAGATTGAGTCAACAGGTCGGTCACTGCAGCGAACGGACAGGTGGTCGAACACGGCGGATTGCGAAATCTTTCCAGAAGCATCTGTTCCGAAAGACAAATCCAAAGAGCAGAGAGCAGCAAAAGTCTGTCGGGGGAGAGGGAGGGTTGAGAATGAAGAAACAAAAATCAAAAAGAAGTCGTCATCTCCACCTCGTCCGACTAACCCAAGCCCCCAGCGATCGTAATCCAGCACGCCATGCGACGGTGAAGGTGCCTCTGCAGAGTGAAGCCTCCCTCAAGTGTCACCTTCATTGCTTAGGGCCGCACGCAGCATCGCTGGTTACCCAAGCGAGTGGACGGCCACCGCGGCATTCGTGCTGGGCGCCAGCTGGGGGGTTCGAACTGGGTTTGGATCAGTCCGGACGAGAATTGCGAGAGCTTTCCCCGTTGGGCCATTACAGCCGGCAGGAAAGCCGGATTGGCTGGTTTATAGACCCAGAGGTCATGGCCAGGAGGTGCTTAGTCAGCCCTGACACGGAAAGGTGGACCCTCCCATCGAACAGTGGTGCTTGCAGCCAGGTCCGAGTCCAGTACTGAGTGAACCAGAACAAAGATGGTTTGCGGCTTGGAAAAAAGTCCAATACAAGGCTGGGCTACCTTTCAAGCCTGTCATTGGAGCTACCTCGCTTTCCGCCCTGTCATGTCCACGGGCGGCTATGATGCTACCGAAGGTAGGTCAGCCATACTGGGCAAGGTTTGATTAGTCATCCACCAAGGGCGCTGTCGATTAGGACCCATGTAGGTAGGTACCTCAGCTTCCCTCTCAAGCTGTCAAATGACGGCCCACCATCTCGAACAGCTTCATCATGGGTAGCTTCGCAATGCCTCCATGAGACTTCGTATCGCTCCGCAAATTGAAGTCGCGGACAGCTATACAGCTGTAAATCCCTGACAAAGCTTCTTCTAGCCAGGAATACAACGAGCGCATCATCACAGTCGTCGCCTAGGTCGATCCAATTCCCTACTATCTACGCCTACCCATCTGCTACGTACCTCGATGATCTGGTGCAGCGGTTCCTGACCACAAAACCAGCGGCACGATGCTCACGACAGCGCCCCACCTGCTCATACGCAGACCCTCGCCTACGACTGCCGAGTTCACCGTCACGACCCGACCACCAACGACTCTCCCGCTGCGCCTCGCTCTCCTGGCCCTCGTGCCCCTGCGTCTCGTCGTCGGCGGCTTCTCCCTGCTGCTCCTCTGGTCCATCTACCTCCTCTCGCCATATGCCGTTCCAGCACCGTCCAAAGCGATCGACGCCCCTCTTCTCTCCACAACGACCTTGCTGCGCGCCCTCCACAGCGTCGCCCTCTCGCCCCCCGGCGTCGTGGCGCGCCGCCTCGCCGCCACGACCCCGCTGGTGCTGCTGCTCCCGACGGCCGTCGTGCTGCTCTGGGCCTCTCTGCGCCGCGTCCACAAGACGGAGAGCCTTCTCGTGCTGCGCGGGTTCGGCATCCAGACGTCGTCGTCGTCGGGCAGCTACCTCGCAGGCACGGCCACGCGGTTCATACCGACCGAGAAGATCAGGGATGTCCTCGTGAACGAGGCGTTTCGGGGGTTCGAGGTCCGCCATTACCTCGTTGTCGTCGTCGAAGGGGAGGGCGAACTTGTCGTTGTATTTTCTGGGCTCTTGCCGCGGCGGAGGATCGTCGAGACGGTTTGGAGGGGCGTGAGGGGGTGTTTGTGGGAGGAGGGCGGCAAGCATTGACGTGGAACACTCGAGAAGAGAGACAGGAAGGAATATACCCAAGTACCCGGCATGGCGAAGTAGGAGCATATATATCTGAACATGTGAGACGGCAAATGGATTGCTATCTGAAGGAACCGCTACTATGTTTTACTGTGTCTTTGACCGTCCACCTCGGATGCAGAGTGTCATGCCTCCGGCTCTTGGACCGCTGGCGTCGCCGTCCCCGATCCGCCCTCCCGTCTCGCCCGCCTGTCTTTGGCCAAGGAGACGCGCCAGTTCTCTTCCTTCAGCAGCTCCTCGGACGAGCCGTAGCCCATGCGCTGCGCCCAGCGGTCGTTGATCTCCATCGGCGACGGCACCACCTTCCTCTTCATCAGAGGCAGGTGCTCGCCGGCGAGCCGCCCCTCGTTGCCGCCAGCGTAGACCTTTTGCAGCACGTTCCACTTGACGTTCTGCGCCGGGTTCGCCTCGGGGCACCCCTGCAGCGACACGAGGTCGAGCAGCCTGTTGGCCAGCAGCTCGTCCATCTTCTTCTCGCGCCACCCGGCCCACAGGACGTCGACGAGGCCGCCGGCGCCGTACTTGTTCTCGCCCGCCTCCCACACCCACGCCATGCCGTCGGCCTGCTGGCCCTCGGGCACGCTGCGGTCCGTCGGGAAGATGCAGTCCCACAGCACGAGCGGCACCTCGTGCGCGAGCCGTAGTTGGGCTTGCGCGGGTGCCCGCTCGACGTCGAGCAGCTCGTCCACGACCTCGGCCGCTCGAGCCCCTGGCCCACGAGGAACAGCACGCTGACCATGTGCCGGATCTGGTGCCACAGGAACGCCGACCCGCGCACGTGCAGGTAGTACACCTTGGGCATCACGCCGCCGCCGCCACCACCACCATGCGCTGCCGTCTCTGGCTGCGCAAACGCCGCGCCGGACAGGTACGGCACCGCCGACGCGACGTCGTCGACCTCGACAATGTCGGCCTCGAACATGCGGCGCATAAAATTCGTCAGCTGCTTGCCGCCGTCGACCTTGCAGAAGTTGCGGAAATCGTGCAGGCCCTCGAACTTCTTGGCGGCGGCGCGCATGGCGTCAATGTCGAGATAGCCGACCTTGGGTCGCGGCGGCGGCGGCGGCGCGGCGTCCTTCTTCTTGCGCGGCTGCGAGGGGCCCTTGGGCGGTGTGAGGCCCTCGGGCGCCGGCGCAAAGGCCGGCTGCGTAAAGTAGTAGCGGTACTGGCGCTCCGTGCAGGAGAAGCGCGCCGAGAAGCCCTCGGGCGTCGACGGGCACCAGGCCAGGATGCGGATGTCGGGCGGCAGCAGGCGGTTGAGCGTCTTGCAGTAGGGGAGCTCGTCTTTGATGGGGTCCCAGGGCTTGGGCGCGGGAGGAGGTGATGGCGGCTGCTGCTGCTGCTGCTGCTGCTGCTCGGCTGCGACGTCCTGCATGCTGACGTCCCCTTGACCGTCCTGCTGCTGCTGCTTCTGCTTCTCCTGAAGGGCTTCGGCCTTCTTGCGCGCCTCCTCTTCGAGCTGGGCCGCTGTCTTGGCAGGGGCTTGCTGCTGCGGAGGCGGAGGCCGATGACCTGGCCAAAGGCGCTGACGCCCTTGTCCGTGCGTCCGCACTTGGAGTAGTCGAGCTCCTTGTAGTTTGAAAGTCGATCCTGGTCAATGTCCCTCGCCCGGGGCGGGAAAGATGAGGCAGGCCTTTGGTGAGGGCCCGACCCACAGCGCCGACTCAATCGTCGCCTGCACGGCCGACTGCTGGTGCTCAAAGCCGTTGTAGTTCTTGCCGAGGTAGGCGAGGCGCAGGGCGACGTAGCGGTACGAGTAGCGCGAAGGATCTATGCTGGCGGCTCCCTTCTTGCGCTTCTTCGCAGGCGGCGGCGCTGCCACCGCCGAGGACGAGTCGCCGCCGGGTGTCGAGGGGGCCGAGTGCGTCAGTGTCACGGCTCTTTTGGCGGCGGCGTCGCGGTGGCGGATCTCCATCTCGAGCTGCCGCACGCGGCAGATGAGCCGCTCCTTGTCCCAGGTGTCGTACCTGACGTTGTTGGACATGGTGGCGGTGGACGACTGCGTGCGCCGGGTCTGGTGATGGGATGCAGACGATGGCGATGAAGGTAAAATTCTCGTGATGTGAGGGGAGGACGAGAAATGGAGTCTAGGGCGCAGGACGCTGGACTCGGCCGCCGAGAGGAGACTCGCAGCCTTCATCAAAGGTCTGCGCGTGTTCGAGATACAAGGCAATAGAAAGAATTCATCAAGCAACGAGCACTACTTTTTTTCCCCTTCTCTCTCTATACATGTTGGATGTTGTCAAAATCGTCAAGAGCAAGAGCCTTGAAGTGAGTTGAGAGGAGGCGCTCGAGCCACATCAAGTGGCTGTGTTAGAAATCAATTGGTGTGGCTGATACGTCCCTATCTTCGGCGTCCATCAACGAACGACATGGCTTCACCCTTCAGCCTGCGCCATTTGTTCGCCAGACTCACTCATCACTTGACATAGAAACACAGGACGAAATGGATACTGAAACAGTCACCATATTGCTCGTAGGGGATGAGAAGTGTGGCAAGACGTCTTTCCTGTCGTACGTAACCCTCCCCTCCCACCCCGCTCTGCCCGGAAGGCCGATGCTTTCCTCGCTTCAGCACCACCACCACCGGCACGCGGCTTGACTCGGCAGACACTCCAGACGCATCAGTGCTGTCGAGGGAACCGGTCCAGTGACTATTGCTCCGCGATATTGACCAGCCTTTTATCTTTGAGATCAAGCTTGGCACACGACCCTATCGGCTTGAGTTTTACGACAACAACAGCCCGGACAGCTGGAAACTTCTCGACCCTGATGTCGTAGTCATCTGCTATGACATAAGCCAGCGACTCAGTCTCATCAACACGCGCAGAGTGGTGAGTGGTGATCGTCTTCCCTACGGGGTGAGCCGTACTCTGACGCGCTTGGCAGTGGTTGAGAGAGGTCAAGATGGCCTTCCAGCGAGTTGATAACCTCCCTATCCTGGTCCTCGGCCTCAAGCGAGACCTACGATCCGAGACCGACCCCAACGGTATCATCTTGCCGCAGGAAGCGTACGCGCAAGCGCAGGAGATGCGCGTCGACAGGTACATGGAGTGCTCTGCCGTTACGGGTGAGCTCCTGAAGCCGGCGTTTGAAGACATCTGTTCCACGGCGGTCAAGACGACATCTGCAGCAGGCGGCCAGAGCGAGGGCGGCTGCACGCTCATGTGAGGCCGCCGATCGGCACCGCTGCGGAGGCCGTCATTTCATACTGCTGCGTCAGTCGCTCCACGTGCTGGGGGTCGACGACGACTGGTCGACGTGGCGCCATCGGCGGTCTGGGATGTAGAACTACGACGTCCCGTGCTCGGCCTGGCCGTTGGCCTCTGCGGCTCCAGCAGCGCCCCCAGGCGGGAAAGTTCCGAGAACCTCGGCGATGATGTCGACAATCTCGGCCTGCTTGTCCTCGTCGAAGCGATCTTCCATGTCCTCGATGATGGTGTTGAGAGCGGAGGCAGAGGCCGGGCGCAAGTTGAAGATCATCATCATCTCGCCCTTGGCGAGCTCGTAGGGGTGCAGGCGCTGGATCAGCTGCTTGATGCAGTCTTGGCTGTAGGGAAGGGGCCGCTGGGCGAGGGGGTTTGGCATGGTGGTGAGATAATGAACAAGCTTGACGGATTAGCGTTTTGTTTAAAGATGAATACATATTTCCTTCATTGGGCATACCTCTCGATGCAAAGTCTCATAGTTTGTCGGGCCTTTTTTCCCAGCTCGCCTGCTGCCTTGAGGCTGGTTGACGACATGGTGGTAGACCTCGAAATTGGTCAGGACGGCCGACTGAGCCTCGAGAATCTTCATGGTGACGCTGGCTGATGAAGAATGTTAGTCGTCCAGGTGTGCTCAATTGCCCATCCGAACCACAGGAATGGCATTCGTCACGCAGTACTTTGTTGAGTGACTGAAGCAATGACTGACTCACCTACCTAGGAAAGGATGTGTTTGAGAAGCCTGACCAGCCGAAGGATGTGACGCGAGGGAGACTGGGCAAGATGCAGCTGGAGAAGGCTAGGAGGCTCGCTTTGTAAGGACCCCTCAAAGTCGGTGTAGCTGGCACTCAGCAACTCGGAGTGAATATCGACGATCTCAACACGGTTGAAAGTGTCGCGCTGCTCAAGGTGGCTCAAAGTAAAGAGACGCATGCGCGTGATGACAATCGCCAATCGGGTCAGTGGTGGACTTTTCGCTCTGTCGGGTTTCCAGATCGTCAGGCTGGTGGGCTGGTGGGGGACAAGGACGACCAGCATGGAGGGGCAGAATGAGAAGGATGGCGTGCCAGTGTCTCGCAGATGCACGGTGGAAGATTAATCTCACAGCACCATGCTTCGCTGAGCATCCCCCCTGTAGCCAGCTGAAGACAGGCTAAATACAGTGTGATCACGAAGACCATGACGCAGATGGCGCAAAATTTGCCTGCATGCAACCGGCTGCCCTTGCCTGCGGTGCCGCCAGGGCCTGCATCTCCGCTTTGCACCCTGGTAGCACCTACCTATGTACATGCCGCCATGGCAATGGCACATGGAACCCGGACCCCACCAAGCTCGAGACTCCAGCTTTTTTTCTTCCCTCGCCGCGCATACATCTAACCCGCTCCCTCTCCTCACCGAGTCACCCAGCCTTTTCCACTTGGCTGTTTTGCCGACTGCAAATCAGTCATTGATCAATCCGGCATCACACTGCAAACCGCCCCCCCCGAGCCATGCTGCCTCTCTGACAAGAATTCTTCTTTGAGGGAAGCTTTTCCGCACGTCACCAATTCGTCCGTCTCGGCCCGCCTCGAACCGCATCCGTCCTACTCCGATCCTCGGCATTCTTTGCTCACTTTCGCTCCTCTGACGTCGCCCCGCCGGTCACCGACAACCATCGCGAAGACGCAAATCTTGCTTCACCGTCGACGACGACGACAAGTCTGACCGCCCAGTCTACACGGAAACTCCATTGTCCTGGCACAGTTGGCGCATTGAACACCGCCAAACTCCTCCAAGACTTCCGACCCCCCGGAACGAAAGGCGTCTCATTGACGGCATCGCTTCTCCCTTACCTCCCACAAAAACACCCAGCGGACCGTAAGGTAGGCTCGGTCCAACCCTGCTTCTCGGACACCGTCTCTGACACGTTCGCGAAGACACTATGGTTCGCAACATTGTCATCCTCGGCGGGAACTCCCACCCGGAGCTGATTGACAACATCTGCAACATACTCGGCGTCACCTCGTGCGAGCGCATTCTCACAAAATTCTCGGCTGGTGAGAGCAGATGCGAAATCAAGGATTCCGTCCGAGGAAAGGATGTGTACATTGTCCAGTCCGCCTCCGGCTCCGTCAACGACGGCTTCATTGACCTCTGCATCATGATCTCCGCCTGCAAGACCGGTTCCGCGAAGCGGGTCACCGCCATCACGCCGTTGTTCCCTTACTCGCGTCAGCCCGACGTACCTTACAACAAGATCGGTGCCCCGCTCAAGATGCCCGAAAACCCCCAAAACGGGAGCTATACCTTCGAAAGCGTCCCTGCTACGCCTGGTCCCGGGCATCTCGAGGACCCAGACGCTGAGCAGTGGCATCGAGGGCCTCGACTCCAAGCTTGCTAGGACCAAGCTGGCCGAAAACAACCTCAATGGCTACTCAAGAAACGGCGATCCCAAGACCCCGGGCCGTCACCAACAAGAAGGCTCCCTGTCGTCGCAACCCAGCTTCACCACCCACGACCAGGGAAACAATCAGAGCGCTCTGGCCAACTTCAAGGTCAAGCCTGGCTACAAGCAATGGGTCGCCCAGGCCGGCACCCTTGTCGCCGATTTGCTGACTTGTGCCGGCGCCGACCATGTGGTGAGTCTCCTTTGAACCCTCAAGCCAATCTCGGGTTTGTCGTAAGACCAACTCGTGGTGGAACGTTGCTAATGACGTCCAGATCACGTAGGTCTTCCTGTAGCCATCTTGTTCCTGCATGCCTCCTCGTGAATCCATACTCTCTGCCGTGGGGCCACGTGCCCATTGCAATCAGCAACTCAATTCGGGACTCGTTTCCGGACGGATGGCTGACTACTGTAGGATGGACCTCCACGATCCCCAGTACCAGGGCTTCTTCGACGTGCCGGTGGACAACCTCTATGGAAAGCCTCTCCTGAAGAAGTATATCCAGCAGAACATTCCCAACTACAGGGAAGCCGTCATTATTAGTCCGGATGCTGGAGGCGCCAAGCGCGCTACTGCCGTCGCCGACGAGCTGGACATGGGCTTTGCTCTCATCCACAAGGTAGGCCTGCTCGTGCAGCGAATCGGAGTGGCATGCTGACTTGCGGCCAGGAACGCCGTCCAACAAAGTATAGCGAACAACGCAACGCCAGCATGATGCTGGTCGGTGACGTCAAGGACAGGACGTGCATCTTGATCGATGACCTTGTCGACACTGGTAACACGATCACCCGTGCCGCGAAGCTCCTGAGAAGGAAGGCGCCACCTCCATCACAGCCCTCCTCACCCACGGCATCTTTCAGCGGCGACGCAATTGCCCGCATCAAATGCCTCTGCCATTGATAAGATCATCGTGACCAACACTGTTCCTCAAAGGGAACATAGGCAAATGTGCCCCAAAGCTTGAGTACTTGGACGGTAAGACCTTCACGCCATGCCGGGCCGTCCGGGAATCCCCCACTAACCCTACCCGTAGTCTCTCCTGTTTTCGCCGAGGCGATCCGCCGCGTCCACCACGGCGAATCAATCAGCGTTCTCTTCCAGCACAACTGATCAACGGAGGGAGCCTTGCACCCACACCATCACACCTCAAGCAGCATTCACAACCCCGGCGTTACAACGAGATAATCTGGATCTGGAAAGTGCATTGGAAAGGGATTTTGTCTGGAGTCGCACGCGCAGATGCTCTTACGTCAAACTAAAGCTGCCCTGTCTCACACTAGAGGCGTTCTCTAGGACTTACCGCATATTACACCCTTCGTGCTCTTGGAAGCCGTGAGAGCCGTGCTGTGCCATGCCGTTCTGTGCGCTGTCTTTTGCCGTCCTTCTTCGGAATCCTCCCCGAATGCGCCCTCCCTGCGCGGGG